CTGGAGCAAATATCGACCCAGGGGGTTTTCTCGTTGGCAGAGGAGACGAGTGGCCGCCTCCCTGGAGTATCCTACGCGTTCCCCTCTGTCCTGTATCGGTATCCTATCGCCAGTCGGTTCCTTGGCCTGATTGGCCGACGATTGTTTCCCAAGCAGCTGGGAGGAGGTTCTTACTATCGTTCTCTCCCGCATGAGGAGGCGCATATCCGTTGTGAACTGCGGACGTTGCAGCGGCCCTTCGTCAGCTCAGAAGCTGGAATCAAGTGCAGGCTTCTCGTTCTACCTGTGCTCTTCAGTGCATCTGCATCCGATGCGAAAGATATGAAGCGCGAAAGCAGGCGCGGGCGGTGCTGGGCAGCGGATGTTGCAAATGCAGCTTGGACGCGATGGGATCTTTATAATATCTCAACCTTAAGGCATGAAGATGCGAAGGCATCTTGTGTTGTCTTTACTTTATGAAATATTGGCGACAGCATCTTTTTCCTTTGGCTTGTGCATCTTTCTATATTGAACACGGGCCGCCTATTCCTCTGCCACTATCGTCCCAACAAACTAAAGCCATTCTCGCCCGGCCGTGTTTTGCTTGTGATGGGATGGGAATGGGATGCCTAATGCCTACGGCATGGCTATGTATGGGTAAGCCATATGCGTTAGCATTTTCTCTAGCTCTTCGACTTCTAGGTCTTCGCTCTAGATCATGTCGCTGGTTTGTTTTGCCTGTCCTCGTCGGTGCCTCAACTCAAGTAAGTCATAGTTTGTTATATATCCTTACCCTATGATAAGACACGCAACGCGTTTCAAGTTATAGCTATACAGTATAGGACGATCTGGGATCTCGTACGGATCTCATCTCGTTACTCTTTGAGAACTATCCCAGACTCTAACTCACTCCACGGAGCGGACGCCGGACGGGACGAGGACAAGACAGACCAACGATTACAGTGCGTCACTTCATCGGGATCGGCGTTGGCCTTGAGCTTGACTAGGAAGCTGGAGCGCAGAGCAGGAGCACTCAAGTAGGAACCGCGCTGAAGCTTATAGGGAGGAGTAGCGCCTCAGCTTTGGCCGACACGGCATCGAATGCAGATTGGATACGGATTTGCGCTGCGGTGTTCTGGGATGGTGATGAGATCTAGAAGCTGGAGCGTTGTATCTGCATAAGCATACGCTAACGCTACGGCTACGATAGACAGCAACAGAACAACAGCCGACGCGGTCGCGATCTGATGGCGCATAAGGAATCAAGTGCCGCCTTGAGTCGTATCAGTCAGACCGGCGCGGGCACAGCATATGGATACGCAGCGACGCATAGTGAGAGCGCGAGTGCATCCTAGTCCTAGGACATGAGATGAGCAGTCTTTTTTTTTTACTTGTGCTCCTTTTACGACCGTGACCTGCGGCAGGCCAGGGTAGCCTAGCAGAATACACCACGGAAAACTGTGCACCAGCACAGCTACCACTAGGACTCCGTCTCCATCTCGTCACGGATATGGGTACGAAGTCGATTCTATTAGAGCCTGCCACGACGCTGCGCACGAGGACGAGACGCGTCTGCGGGGCAGATAGAGGATTAGAGGAACTGGCCTGGCATTGGCAACCAGCTAGTCTCTTCAGCTTCGAAAGTAGCACAAGGCGGCGGACTTCTCTCCCAGAGAGTCGGCTCTAGATGTGTCAAGTATCGATCGGGCAGCAGACTCGTCCGAAATTAGAAAAGAGCTCGCCTCAGCATGGTGCTGACAAAGAGAGGGCTGACACTGGAGGAAACAAACGGAAACCAAAAGCAAGCGTCGCGCGTTGTTATGGTTTCAAGATAAAGAACCCGATAAGACCTGCAAGGACAAGCACGACCGGACATTTAGACTTACGCCCGGACCTCGGCTGCCCTCTAGTATACAACGAGCAGGAGTAGAAAAGAAACCCGAGTCGAAGCTTTAAGGCTATGAGTGTGACTAGGTCTTTTATCTTATTCTTCTGGCCCTTGTCCTACAGATTTCAGTGCTGTTCTGTGTTCATGTGCGCTATCAGTAGCAAAAGCCAAACCTCAAGACCTAGGTAACGCAACATAGACTAGAGCAAGACCTGCACAAGCAAAGAAGAGGCTTTGTCTTCACTTCGGTTCGTCTCAACTCAGTGAGACTGGCGCAATAGAGGCGAAGTGTATTGGTAGCCTTATGTTGGCTCTAGTCTACTCTAGTCGACATTTCCCAGTCCTAGTCGTGTTACACTGCCAGGATCTCGCCTCGTCGCTTCTTTCTGTTCTCTATCAAGAAGCTACCTCGTCGAGAATTGAACCGACGTCGCGGCTGGGGGTTGCAGATGGTGCAAGGAATATCTACAGAGCGGACCCTGATCCCATCCGCGCGAGCAAATGAGCAGGAGTGGAGCAACATTCTATGGCTGCCCGAGGATATAGCAGCGCACGAAGCGAACCACGATGGGCCGCGGCCTGGCATAGAGAGCTGCGACGGCAACGGGAGCTATCGCCCGGCCAAGAACGAAGACAAGAGCTGAAGCTTCAAGACTCAAGAGCAAGAAAGTGAAGCCCAAACATTGAGAAAACTATACTAGAGAGTGAGAGTGTACACGTGGGGCCATCGAATCCGTCTTATGTCATCGCCAGCCCAAGTCTCCTGTAGTTCAACTTCAGCTCGTCTATCATCTGGCCCCATCTTGCTTGATATTCCTGAATTGAGTATGAGTCTACTTATAATTGAGGCGGTTTCATATGTCGCCGAGCGGGTTGTGGCTGACGAAGTGACCTGATGGCCGGGGCGTCACAAATCACATCGAACCCATACACGATCCACAGGAGAAGCCTCCCTTGTGGCAAGAGCCTCTCAGTCTTTCAGTTTCACGCGTTAGCCTGTGTTTACTTGACAGTAGAAATGAAAAGCGAAATGAAGTCTGAGGTGCTACATGGATGAGCGTAGCTGTGAAATCCCGAGTAGTGAGATCATTCAAGCCAGGCCTCCGGCAGCGTGGCATGGTTGAAACTCGCGTCGCCTCAGCTGGCCGCGCTGCACCTGCAGCTTTCACAGTGAGAGCCAGTATGAGCATCATTGATTTGCTTGGTCTTCTTATCGGTAAAGGTCTTTTAGGTGGTTCTGGTAGCTGAAATCGCAATGGCTAGTAGCTGACGGAGAAGAACACTCAGAAGAGATCCCCATCCTCGCAGAACAAATCAGCATGGTCTGCGCCTTTCGTTTCTGTAGTAGCAATAGCACGGCTTGTTTTCTCTGGTCTTCTCTGTTATTGTCTTGAGCCTTGGGAGCCCGAGGCACTAAGTCCCACAGAGTGAGAGGAGTCGCAAAAGATCGCCAGTGTGGTTTTCTCTTTTTTTCATTGGTCGACCCACTGACACAGGACAAGGCGACTCTGTTTTTGTCTGTTGTGAGTAAGCAAAGCAAGGCCGCGTCTGTTCCTGCTCTAATCCAGAGTGTTCCATATGAGTGCTGACTTGAGTGCGAGTTCGAAGAAGCGATAGCAAAGTGCCAAGCAGTGTATCTATTCCATTCACCACACCCACAGCGTCGCAGTTCAAATCGTTGGCGCGGTCGGCCAAGTGAAGTCGCTCACGAAGATACCATACTCGAGATGGCTCGCCAGAATATAGCTGACTCGTCGTCTGTGTCGTGCAAAGCGAAACAAATGGAAATGGCAGCTGCCTCGGTGTTTTTTATCGTGTCGCTTTTTGGAGTTGACGCGTATTGTATACGCACTGTATCCAATGAATGCGGGAAGCTTCTCATATGGTACACTCAAGCACAGTCGCAATAGTTAGCAGTAGCAACCAGCCCCAGGAGTCAGCCTCTCAGTCGGTTTCCTTTTCTGTATCTAGATCCATTCAGCAAGCACGAGGAGGCGAATGTAAGGAGTGTCCCCCAAACTCAGGAGAAAGCGTAGCCCGACTCCCGACCCCCTTTCAGTTTCACTTGCGTTGCATTTTTGTAGAATTCAAGCAAGGCACAACGGACCCAGTCAATATTTTGCGCCTGAATTTGCAAAGAGAAGCCCCCACGAAATGGATCGCCGAAAGCTGCCGAAAGTTTCCGAGAGTTCAGCTCGCAAGTGTTGCCCTGATTAGTAAAAGCCAGTAGCGCGACGACGGTGGCGGCTGTCCGTCAGTCTGTTGGTCTATCTTGGTCTTGGTTGCTTTGTTTCAAGCAGTGAGCTGGGGCCCCATCCTTCTTGTTTCGCTTGTTCACTCTGCACTCAGCCACCCCCTTCCTCTCATTGGTTCTCCCTCCTCCCTTCGTTCCTTACTACACACACAAAGACACCTGGCAAGCCCGCTGCCTGGCGCGCTGGCTTGGCCTCTTTCTTGCTTGCTTCCTCTCTCTCTCTCTCTCTCTCTGACTGCCCCCCCGGTCAGTCTGGTCTGTGTCTGTCAGTCCGTCTGTCTCCCGTTCTCTCTCACTCTGGAGCCAGCTCCTTGCATGCCTTCCATCCGTCCTCCGCCCGTCGCTCGCTCTCTCTGTCTCTGTTTCTTTGTGTCTCACTATGTATGGGCTCTGCCTTGCTTTCTTTCTCTCATTCTCCTCCCTGCTCGCTTCTATCTTCTTCTCCTTCGTTCTCTTCCTTGCTCGCCTCTGTCTCCCTCCGTTTTTGTTTCTGTCAGTCTTAATCTGTTGCCTTGTTTTTCAGGCAGACCCATGTCCGTTGAGCACATGCGACCAAATTTCCAGCGAAAAACGAAACAAAAACGCGGGAAAACACAAAACCAAAGCCACAAAATCATCATCATCCTATGTCTCTACCCGACACCCGCCCGCAAAGTCGCAAACATCTTCCCCACCCTACCCGGAAACGAAACGGAGAAAGCTTATGTATCATAGAAACAGACAGTGCACTACATGTTCGATAACCGACGCAGACAGATAAGAACTTACAGACGTAAACTCTCCAACAGAAGAAGGAGCGGCAGAACCTGCAGAAACCGATACTGATGCCTCTCTCTAGTGTTGGTGTGTGCATTCTTATGGTGTCCTTGATGAGTAGATTGGAACAGTTGCGCGGCCGATGCTCCACAAGATGCCGTAAGGTTTCTGCATGTCTATCAAAATTGCGGCTGCTTGATTCTCTGAAGTGTTTGTCTGTCTTCTCTTCACTTCTTGCCCATGGTTGGCGCGACAACCTGGAGCAACCTCTTTCATTCAGTGAAGCAATTGGCCCTCTCCATGAAGTTCATGATGAATGATAGCCCAGCAGTCGCCCGAACGACTATCGGCATCATCTAGTGGCTTAGTTTTTGCATCAAATGAGCAAGGAAGTCACCATATAAAAACGTGGACGCCATACTATCAGCATTCAATTTATATCCTCCCATATATTTCCCAACATGTGTATCGTTTGATATATCTCAAAACGTTGCGCATTTTCTTACTCTAGATCTCTTCTAGTTTTCACCATGAGATAATCGCCAATACATTTAACACAATGGCTATACATTTACTTAGAACTTACACCCAAGTTAGATACTGCAGCACTGCCCAAACTAGTTCGGCGCGTTGTCTGCTGGACTCTTTTCCCCCTCTTCTTTAAGTACTCAATTCCGTCTGTATCAACATCTTCGCAAGATGGATTTCTATCTAGGTCCTCACTTTAGCAGAAGTGCTTACATCTAGACTACTTGACTCCCCTGAAGCGAAGAAGCTATCATCTAGATGTTTAGCTATCCCATCGTATTCATGTAGACAATCTTTCTAGCTGGGTGGCTCGGTATGAACCGAGTCCCCGTTCTGATGTAAATTCAAAACAACCGACTGCGCCGCGGTAAAACCACGACACAGACGGCGCGAAATGTGATTGCCTCCCCAGTCATCTACTTCATTGATTCAAGACCTTGTCGTGTGTAGATCGTAATACATTAGAAGTAGTCCTACTTATATCGCTGGGGCTACTTCTTTTAGGTTGTCAAAACGAAAACCCCCGAAGGGGAGCAAGATGGTTGTGGTCGGCCGCTTGCCTTTTAATAATTATTTATCATTCTCTTTATTTTCAAAATCATGATGAGTATACTTCTTCAAAAATCTAACGAATTACTTCGTTAGATGCTGCACACCCCGGCAAGCCAGGCATGGATAGTCTTTGCCTCCCTTTCAGGAAGAGAAGCTTCGACCATCTAGTTAGGCTTTTATAGCCCAGTACTCTATCGAGATGGTTAGCCTCCTCTAGTAACCAATTCCTTATCTGATTTGTCACCTTGCACCTCTAAAGACAAAGAACAGACGTCGTTTCTTACTCCTCCATATTTTGATCCTCATCACCCTGTTGCGCATCTCCCTCCTCTGCATCACCTGCGACACCAGCGCCAGCAGCTTGCGGCTGTCCCGCGTCGACGTTCATAATGGCCGCGCTACGGTTTTGCTGGAGGAGGTTGAGGTAGTGCTCCGCGCCGTGTCCTATGAATGGCGCAGGTGGTGCACCGTCCTGCATGTTGGGGCGCAAGGCCTCTTCTTTTTCGCGAATGCGCTCGGCAAGCTTGTGCTGTACACCAACATCCACAGAATGCCAATCATCCGGCATCTCTTCGAGTTCGCTTTTGGCGCCATTCAGGTCATCTGCGTAAGGTGATAGATGAAAAAGATAAGAAGAAAGCTTGACGCCGGTGCTAATCCCTCAGCTACATCAACTCTGAGCACTTTTTTGCATCTAAATATATCTAAAACATGCGGAAACCAGTAGAGTCCGAAAGTCACAGAATCTTGATCAAGAAGCTACATGCTCTTGACTGCCACATACAAAAAATATAAACAAACTCTAGCACCGTTTTCCAGGAAATCGCTCAAGCGGGCGATGGCGTCATACATGGCCCAGTGCACGAACGAGGAGAAGAGCTTGCGCATGGCAGCAGCCAAATCATCAGGAACACCATCCAAACCAGTCCAGTCGGTGTACTCGTCCGCCATCTTCGCCTGGTGTTCACCCTTGTCAAGGACACGGCCCATAGCGACCTGCATACAAGTCCAGACGATGCGGTAAGCGGTGTGGTACATGACAGCTTGCTCCTCTGCGAAGTTGGCAAAGTAGTCCAGGCACTGCTGGAGTGCATCGCTGCGACGAGTCTCCAAGGCCGTGGCCAAGGCGTACAGGTTCTCCGTGAGTAACTTCATGCCCAAGTCGTGCGCCTTGTCTGCCAACGACAACACGTGCGCTTGAGCGCACCGCTTGCCATGCGCAGCTCGACTTCGCGTCTGAAGTAGCGACTCTGTCACTGTTGAAGCGTGAGGGTGACAAGATAATCTACTCACAGAGGAATAAACGGGAAAACAGTCCTGGAACAACAAGACCAAAACCCTCGACAGAGCAAACCGAATCATTTTGATAGATGATAAATCCACAGTAGATCAAAAACTCAGTAGCAAATATACGAGGAACAGTTCATGGAATAGTTTCTCTCCAACACAAGCAAAGCGATAGGTTCCAGAAGCTACCCTGAATCCACCAGGCAGCAAGACGAGGGTGACCAAGTACGTAGCTCAATCCAAGAAAGCGCGGGTCCGTGATCTGCAGGCTCATGTGCTGCGCGAAGAAGGTGAAGTACTGGATCACTTGGCCGTGGACGATGAGGCACGGGCTGCGCTTCATGTCGCCATTGAATAGAACTGTCACACAGATGCGCAACAGCTCCACAAGCAGCGAAATGCCACCGGCCAACATGGTCTCGCGCATTTCCAGAGGCGCCAGCTGGCAAATGACATCTCCCGTGCCCATTTGCGCCTGAGTGTCTTTGAGGCGGCTCCCGCGAATGCCCTGGGTCCCGGCCTCAAGCATCTGAGAAAGTTCAGAGAAATTATATGAGTGAAAATCGATACTGCAACTAGAGTAAGCGCGAACTGTCATCATCTTAGACTCATCTTCAAACTTCCAGACACGACGGTCATGCATTTTCTTCAGTCCATTTTGATACACTTTCGAAGAAGTCTAAAAGTAAAGAAAAGCACGGCCTCAGTCGTTTCATGGTCGAAAATCTTCAAGAGCAAAGAGGGCGCCGGCTCGTTCGCGGCCAACATCGTACGAAGGTCCGCAAGCTGCTGAAAACCAAGGATCGGGTCCTGGCCGATGGAGGCCGTCAGGAAATCGCAGAACGTCTTCAAGCTGTTGAGGTGCTGGAAGTGCGTGCCGTTCATGTCCATCCTGCAGGTTTAGAAGTAACGAATGGGTATGCTTCTGATGCTATATATGGAATTCTGTTGGTATTCAGTTGACAAATGAAAACACATGATGAGCAAGCATCTCCTATAACTTTCTCGCTATAGTAAGCGCCTCACCTCCCAACTCTAAAACACCAGCCAAACCGACCTGGAATCTAGATAATCAGTATGAAACAATATCAGAGAAACGCAGTGCCAGATCTTGACAGAGAGGAGGCCACGGCTGTTGTCCTGTGCGTTTCCCTTCACGACACCAGCCAAAAACGCCTCAACGGCACAGGCCTCCATCTCGGCCTTGCGATCGGCCAGCGTGCTGCGATTGACAATGTCGCCAATGCCGGCAATCAAATTCGCAGCCGCGGAAGGGGTAGTTTGCGACATTCCGCGAACGAGAGTCGAGTTCTGTAAGTGTAGAGTAGAAAAATGACGAAAACGAGTTCGAATGTAAGTAAGATTATTTGAAAGGTGTCAAGAGTTTGTCGATATCGTATAAGTTTGTCTAGTTTAAGACACAGCTGAAAGATTCACGATCTACTCAGTAGGCTAGTTGGTAAGTAAAAAGATAGTATATACCTTCATCAAAGTGTAATCGTCCATGGGGAATTCGTCCAGCGTGGCCGTCTTGAGGAGGTTGCCGATACGAGTCCCAGAAACCGCCGAAGCAATTTCCTTAGCTTTCGTCGAGAGCCTCGGCATCTTCATTTGGATGCTTTGTTGTTCGGGGCAGCGGAGTTGCGGGGGCGGCGGGTGCAAGACCGCAGCCACGACCGCATTCTGCGAACGACGGTAGACACGATACAACGCACGCACGGGAACAATGACGCGCGGATCGTCCTGTTGGTGGTTGAGTAGATTGAATATGTGCAAGAAGAAGAAAGCGTCCTCCTTATGCTACAGCTGTCAAGTCGTTACGTAACTGGAAGATGAGTATATAGAGTCAATCTATGTCTTCAGCGGAACAGATTCACCTATATGCTTCAGATCTTCACGGTAAGAAATCTAAAAAGTCTAAAGATAGTCAGACGAAAGAAATTACATAAGAAACAAGGATGCACGTATCTAAAGTTTAGATACCTCAAGCAGAAAAGTGCTACACTGCATTAGAATTCACTGCTACCGATCATTTGGCTCGCTTCCTGCTTCCAGCAGTGAAGGCCTCTAGGAGGGCGTGGGTGAGCACGAGTGTCAGGATCCCTCTTTTGGATTACTGTCGCCAAAGGCCGCAGAAGCTGCTAGCTCTTTAGTGTGCAACACGCTGACGCTTCAATAATCACTGTTCCCATCTCAGCTACCTGCCTATGGGCATGCTCACGGTGAGACCAAGGGTTAAGGAAACAGCCACTTACTTGCGTTGCTTTTTCGTGGGTGGTTGATTATCACACGGTGGTGCTGGAAGAGGGGTAGGCTGTGTGTTCTTTCGGGTATCGGGACCGGAGTCCGTAACCTCCGGTAGCAGTGCTTTCTGGTTAAGGGTCTTAAGTACAATTGTCCAGTTTGGTTGTCGTACTTCGATGACTTCGGCCAGTAAGTGGCGGAAGGAGGCGCAGTCCTCTCTCGAGAAGATGTCCGCTATGTTGAAGTGGGTGCTGACGTAGCGGTAGAAGGTGCGCTGCTCGGCTGAGGCGGCACGCAAGGTGGATTTGGTGATGATGTTTAGCAAGTGTGATGATTTTGCAGCCATCTTCACGCGCGCGTAGAGTTGGGTAACGTTGTCAAGGGAGATGTGCATGAAGTCGTTCGCGGTTGCCCAGGTGGTGAGGGCGAGGTAGGTAGCCATTGCTTCGAGGACTTCGATGCAGATAGTGTTACCGAAGACGTTCTCGATGTGCTGGCGGTCGATTAATACGGTGAATGCTTGGCGCTTTCCTTGTGCGTTAATGTGAAAGGCACCTAGTACGGGTTGCCCATCAGGTCCACCGTCGGATGAAGCATCCGTGGCCAGGTAGGACTGCGTAATCCGTGAGGCTGTCTTGCCGTGGGTGATTCGCGGTAGGTTCGGCAGAAGGTGTTGCAGCGCCACAACGTGGATGCGGAGCATGCTGCGGCGCTTCTTGCATTTTTTGAGGGTGTGAAAGAGTGGCTCGCCCAGCCATTTGTATAGCGGGCGGAGCAGCTCGGTGCCGATCTTCGATCGGGTGTGTTGCGTGCCGAAGGTCGCCAGTCCGACGAGCCTCTGTAGGTCTTTGAGGACGAGCGACCTACTTTTGATTTGCGTGAGGGTGGTGTCGAACGCTTTCGTAAGCTTGATGTAGTAGTTGCTTGGCAGCATAAGCGTGAGCAAGGTGGCGTCAACTGATCTAGTGTAGTGGTAGATGAGGCCCAAGGCCTTCAAAGTGTCTGCTCTGGCTGAGGACTGGTCCGCAGCCGGTTTTTTGGAAAGCGGCAGGCCGGGGCATGCTGCCAACTGGTGGACGAAAGTCCTCGCAACAAAGATTTTCTGCGTTGTTGCGGCGAAGTAGTTCTGGTCGTCGATGTAGGCCAACACTGGGACTTTGAAGTAGATGCAGATGGCCATTAGCAACTCCGAGAGGCGGCAAAATGCCGGGACGGAGGGTTCGGCGCCCATATTGAGCGTATAGCTGACCCAGAACCGGCATGCCCACTGCCTTGGGTCATGCCCCGTTATGGGGCAACTTTTGGGGTCGTCGATGCCAAAGAGGTAGTAGGCCTCGGATATATCACCGGAAGCCATCTCTGGCGGTGGTGTCTGCGGGTGTCCCACTTCCTGGCTGAGGGAGGTGAGGGTAGCAGACAGGCGGCCCGCGAGGGCCGTGAGGGATTCTTGTGGTTCTGGCAGGGTGGCCGTTGCCGCCGCCGTTGCCAGTTCTTGTTGCATATGCGCATGGGTTTCCTTGCGCGTCTGGCCAAGAGGTGAGGAGATGTAGGCGCGCTCCTTCCCGGTTGGTGTCATGTAGAAAGATGCCGGCGAGATCTTGAATCTTCCGGGTGCCGTGTAATTCTAGTTTTTCTTGTGTGCGGCAGTAGTGATTCTTGGCGCGGTTGTCGATGAGAAGCCGGATTTTGCGGCGTTCCTCAGTGGATTCATCTTTAGGGAAAGCAGTGGCAGGCTGGCATTGGAGCAGGTCGCGGGTGATCTCCTTATGTCGTCCCTTTTGAGCGTCCTGCTCTATGATGTCGATGATTGCCTGGAGAAGGTCATCGTCGAACTCTGGCGGTGTGGCGCGGAGACGGATGGCCTTGTTGTAGAAGTCGGCCACTTCTGATTCCGGGACGAACGGGGTGTGATTGGCTTTCCAGACCCCCGTGGTGTCACCATTGGCGATAGCGTTAAGCCCTTTGATGACTCGCGTGGTGAAGGTGGTGTCAGGGTGGTCGATGAGGGTGGCCAGTGTTTCGATGGCGTCCACATTGCGCGGCGGCTCCGAAAGGAGGAGGCCCTGCAAGTGCGCCGGGCTCTCCTTTCTGATGCGCGCCTTGCTGGTCTCCGCAGTGTCCTGCTGGAGCTCGAGGAGGTAGCGGGTGGCTTGTGCCACCGTGTAGGTCCATTCTTGTGCGTTGTCATCTCGATCACGTTTTTGGTCAAATATAGCGTTAGCGTATTGCTGGTAGAGGCGTAGGTCGACAGGTGGTGACCAGACCGCTTCAGTTAACTGGTCGGCCGTTTTAATCAATGCAAGCTTTAGTTTTTTCGGCGTCATTTTGGACTATCTTTCGTTTCCTGGTGTGGGTGGGTGGGTTTTTTCAGTTTCGTTATCCAGAAGACTATCTGAGATCTCCGGAGCGTGAAGTTCTTACTTAGTCACCTATGATCTCCGATAGTATAAAACACCGACTAGAGGTATCAAAGGAAAATCTATACTCCTTCTCCAAAACCTTAATTTTTGTGGCATCCTGCACTTGGGCACGCAAGTTATGGCTTAAACTAGATAGTTAAGTAGCTAGTTAAAATAGTTGGTTGGATCGAAGCTCTGGGCACCGGATCGAGAAGACCTGCTGGAATTGAAGAATATCTTGTCTTTCTACGTCTGCGGATCCACCTCGCAACGCCTCACAAACGCACTAGATCCCATCGCATCGAAACCGAATGATAATCAGGCAGAAAAATAGCAGCTCGGACAGTGGACTCGAGAAGCCTGATGAAGTTTGTGCATGGAAATGACCGACTTGGCAGCTTATGGCCAAAAGCGACTAAAATCGTAATCATCTCTGGCAATCCACAACATGTAGGTCTACTTTCATCGTCATTTTTCAAGGTTGTAGCTGTTGGCTCTGGACCTAGAACGTCTGTGCATGAAACAATACAGGTTTTCGCGTCTTGGTTTTATTTTCTCCTTGTCGTTTATGCTAGAATCTAAGACCGAAGAAACCAACATGGGAGATTACCCTCGTGCCGTGGAAGAATGGTCGCTGAAACGGATCAGGGCCATTCTGCAGCCAGACTTTCATATCGAAGATACTCCCGAGGCCGCTGCAGATCTTGCGGTATGTCCGAAGTGTGTGCCGGTCAAAAGCCGCAAGCTTCTTCCGCTGCAACTAAAGGCCTCAAAGAGTGCTCTCGCGCCTTGGCTGAGGCAAGTGAAGATGATCGTGTGCCGCAAACGCTCCGCATACCATGGAGCAGTTATAGTTGGCGTCACCACGAAGCGCCGCAAGTTGTTAGCAATCCACGTCAACAAGCACATGCGACTTGAGTCCCTTGATTTAAAGGAGGAGAAGTGGTGGCTGTCTTCGGAACAGCTACTAGAGAAGCTTCGCGAAGAGTGGAAACGAACCACGATCGTAAGCCCCACCAGTTTTGCCGAAATTGCGGCTACATGTTCTGGGCAGTATGTGGAGACCCGCATGCGAGCACAGCTTCGCGAAATGATGAAGCAGAGCAGTGCAGTCTATACTGCACACACCCGTGGATTTACGGCCTGCGATGGAAGTCTCTCCGTGGCGGCGACTTTGCGGTTCAAATGCCAAGAAAGAACATTAAAGTTCAAAATGGATCGACACGGCCACCCCGTTGGCTTGTACGCCAGCACTGCGCGGCACCTGTTAGATGTGAGTTTATAGTAGAAATTGCTGGCGAAATGAAACGAAGTAGCCAACTAGTAGAAGAAGAAGACTTTCTTTTCGGTAGGACCTACCTTGAATGAGTAAAGTACAAAAATGAAGAAGGAACACGACGACCGACGAGAATCAAGGTCGTTTTCTCTAAATGTAATCAACAGGAAGTGCGGCAGTGGGTTCAAGTGGACTGAGGTGGACCTATTTCTACTGCATGTCAGAGAGACTACTGGAATGGAGAACAATCTATTTGGTACCTTCCTTATTCCCGTGAAGGAGCTAGCGCGAAGAGGATTTGCTCCGCTTCAACCAGGAAGCCGAAAGTACTATCAGATGGCCATTGTTGTCGTTTCACTCAATCACTAGCGTAGTTGATTAAACAATAGCCTCCCACCTTGCGTTTTTACTTCTAGAAATCAACCAAGAGGAAAACGGGTCTCCATCAGTTTTGCAGTTCAGCCCTGACAATTCGCCATAGATGCAGACAAATCCAAAAAGGAGAAAACTAATCTATGCTACAGGGCGTGGACGAAGACCTTGAACTTGTACCCGTATGGTTTGCAGTATATAAAGTACCCCAAGGAGTCGTGGGCGGATCAGTATCTACTCAAGAGGAACGAAAAGCGAGGAAGGGCAGCTTTATCAAAATTTTGGAACCTGTTGCAGACGAAAATTGCAGGCCCACTTGATTGATGATTCTAACGCGTTTCTCTCACGTCTATCTTTGGCGAGCTCACTCTTTGCCACTCGTTTATGGATCCCCTTTATGCGACCAAGCAGAGCCTGCAGCCCTCCTACACGTTGCTGAACACTCCAGACAGATCCGGATACTGCTCGACTCACGGACCAGAATTAAGATCATTCAAATATTCTTTCTATGTTCTTGCTAGGGGGAGCGAACTCATTTGCTTCCATCAAGTATATTCTTTGATGCTGGTCTCGTTGATGCCGTGCATTCTAAGTAGCGGACCTGTTTGACCATCTTTGAAAGTTCATAAGGTGCAGCTTCATTTGAGATCTAGATACATTGGCTTGCGCGATAACATGGAGACAGTGACTGCTTGAATTATGATAGACCTGAGCGTTCAGGAAGATCTGATTACTATCCGTCATTGTTTTTGGGCGAGTAACCTCGATGGCTGTCCGTTTCTAGACATAAACGCGAGAGCCCTAATAAGAGAATGAGAGGCTTGGGAGTAGATTCGTGGGCTAGAATGCTTGCAGTTTCATTTGTAACCGCGACACTTATCAAGAGCCTGAGAGAGTCGAACTTCAACAGCCAAGGAACAAGCTGGCTCCCATAAAAATTTTTTAGATGACATATCAAATTGAGTCTCATCATAACGCCCGAGAATACACGTTTGCGATTAGAACTGATGCGAGCAAATTAAACTTTCTACCAAAATCAGGCGAGCACACCTGTCGCAGTTGAAGCGATCGAGGCCCAGCGAACCAGACCTGTCCGAGAGCCGAAGTTCTCTGTGCATCTAGTCGAGAAGCAAACCACTGGCCTCCAGGTTCTCTTCGGCTGGAGCGCCTGCCATATCTTCATCGAACAAGTTGCTGGCTTCGAGTTGCCTGCTGCGACTGGGCGAGCTTTCTTCGCCCAGCTCACCTCCTGCTGCGTTCGGGATATTTCGCTTCATCTCCTTTACTACAAGAGTTGCCACATTGGGGCAGAGTGTTTCTTTGTGGTAGTTGATGATTGGGGGACAGAAGATGGAGTTGATGATTTCGATGGGGTCTTCTTGTTGTGCCCAAAAGGTAGAAGCTTGTGGCTTGTTCTTATCGTCTTTGCTGAAGTTCAGAGCCTTCGTCCACCTGCAGTACAAGTGCCTCCCTTGACTATTGGCGCGCCGTTCACTCTTGTGTGTACGAAACAAGATGGAGTGACAAAGAGGACAAGACGCCTCCCAGTAGACTGGATTCTGAACAAATCCCAATCGACGACGCGCAGCGCGATCAGCTGCCTGGTCCGCACTAGGATTGCCATCTCCTGCAACTACTCTGCGCTTCTTACGCATTGGCTCGATACAGCCAAAATCTTCTACCACTCCTTGAAGAAGCTCCTCCAAGATCTTCTTGATTTCGCGAGTGTCATCACATTGAAGGACCTTCCTCAATGCATCTCGCAGCTTCTGCTCCGGAGGGTAAGACTGGACTCCTAACTTCATCTCCGAGAACCACTCGATTGCCGGACCGAGCAACGAGACGGGAAAAGCATCGACACATTCTAGGGCAGCATCCGTGAAGTCCAAGATGGGCTTGCGATAGGAAACCTGCACACGGCCGTTCTTGAAGGTGATCGCATCGTAGTCCATGATGACGCCGCACATTGATGTTAGGCCAGCCATCAGCTGGCGTCTGCCCTTCTCTTCTACTAGTTCGAGTACTTTTAGTTCTTTGTTCATCCTCATGAGCCACCCAGACCAGATACCACCAACTTCTACTACCATGGTCCACTTTTCGGTAAGATGATCAAAGAGGCAAAATGGCACGCCTCGCTTCCGCCAATGCCGGAACCTCATGTTGTCGTCTACTATCTTGCCTATCTGGTATCCGACAGCGAAGTCATCACCAGGAGAATGATCTTGGAAAGACATGTAGGCCAAGACTTCCATTCCTGGAATGTAGTAGTTGGTTGGATGAACACAGAGACTCTCGCTCTTGGCCTGTCTCTTCGCCTCGTCGAACATAGGAGTCATCGCAGCGGACTTGCAGTCCGACAACTTCATGTCTTCTGCTTTCTTGAAGAGGTCATCGCGCGACTTGACCTCGCCGTGCATGTCGTTCAGGACCTTCTTGAATTTGTTCACATCGATGGCTCTCTCCAGGACAGGTCGGATTTCCTCCACGTCGATCATCTTCTCATAGTCCGCGCCACCGATCGGCGGAATCAAGTGGTAGAGCTTGGAGCGGTACAACGACTCCAGCACCTTGAAACTAAGGCGGAACTTGTTCTCGAGAGCTCGCATGCGGCCATCTGCGGTGGTGACACTGGCCCAAGGAACTTCAATCTCCGAGTCAGATGTTGGCCCTCCCATAATAGCTCGCCGACACATCTTCTGCAGAGTAGTAATCTCCTCGACCGTGTGCTTCAAGTTGTACACCATGTGCTTCGCCACTTCGCTCAGATCTCGTTTGAGATCATCGAACATCTTCGGATATACCCGAACAGCACGAGGATGAAGCTTGTTGTCTCGCAGCAGAATCGTATTCCAGAGATTAAAATCCGGATCATAAAGTTCGTAGAGTAAAAATCGGGCTACTAGTGTAACGAACTTCCAGCTGCGAACTAGTTGGTCTTTATTCCACATCATGTGAAACGAGTCGGCGATGGCCTTCTCTAAGATGTCGGGCAACAACTTGGAAGCATTCAACAGGAAAGCGTGGTGTCCTGTTGTGACTGCAAGCTCGGGGAACTCACGAAGGACTTCCTGCTCCTTATCCCCAAAGCCATCGTGGTACTGTTGTCCGAAGGTGTAGCGAAGATGTAAAAGATGAAAGCCGAACAAGAAGGAGCGCACCTCTCGCCAATGCGTTGCGGCTTCGCGGTTCGACAAGTACTTTTCAACTGCTGCTAGTAGTCGCTGGGTCTTAGCGCGATCAGTGCGCGTCGATGCCTCTTGGTCGTCTAGTAGCGGAGCAACTTCTGGTCTATTTGGCTCCACGTTTTCTTGCGCAACTAGAGCTTGTGGCGCCTCAGCGTTAAGCTGCTCACCAAGCAACATGCCGTCATCGACTGGAGCGACTGGAAAAGGACCAATATCAGCAGCGTCAACATTTTGCATCTCTGGATCATCAGCTATCTCATCATCTGCCAGTGCTCTCATCGTATGCCCAGTTTCTTCGTCAAGCATCTTCTTCAAAACCAAACGAGTCCGACCGGCAAATCTCGAAGCCCACGTTTCAACGAAAAAATCACCGAACCAACGCATGCGGACGATCGGGGTCAAGGGGTTACCTGAAGTTTGTGGGTTCAAATTGAGGGTCAAAAATGTGGTCAAAAAATGCGCACTCTTTGCGCAAGTTTCATGTCAAGGGTCGATCGCGGTTTTTCAAGTCAATCACCACTAGATTCCAACGATTTCCCATAACAGTTCATCTTAGTCAAAGCGTGTAGTCGTATCTAAAATATCTACTCCATGCGAAAATGGATAGTGTAGTCGTAGCTAAAATATCTACTCCACCACATGGTTTCGTGTCAAGTTTCATGTAAACTTTTACATGAATTCGTGTCAAATTGTGCACACTTTTTGACATGAGAACTCCTCTAATTGAAAATCTTGGAAGAATGGAGTATACTTTCTGCCAAGGCGTCGATCGGGAGTTTATTTGGGCATTCGCGGATCACATTGGCGTCGAAAAAGTCGGAATCCTTCAACTCCTCCACCAGTTCCTTCTGATGCGCCACAAAGCCTCCTCGCAAGCTCCTTTTGGCGAAGTATCCGCCAACGAAATCCCTTAGGGATCCCTTGAGCTCCACCAAAATCGCCTCCTTATTGGAACAGTTACTCATCCTATGGCGCAAGCCAATGCGAGGCACAACGAGGATCATACGAGCCAGAGCTGCCGCCGAGCGACATTCTGACCCTTCTTGATCATGATCCAACACGATCAAGGAGCGCCAGTTGTAGGAAACCACTTCAATCCACTTGCTTATCAGCCACTTCTCACCGCACACAAACCGGATTCGCATGAGGGTTTCCATCGCTTTCGTGCAAGCGGCGTCAAACCTCGCGCCGCCTTGAATACCCTTGGACGGCCGTTGAAGTGGAAGAGCGTGGACGAAGGTCTTGTAGCCCTTGTTTGAAGGATGCGACTCCCAGCACAAAACGTAGACCTGCAGTGGAATTAAGATTGGAGGCGATTTTCGTTTGCTCAAATAAATAAAGGGGATGTCAAATAGGAGGAAAGTTCTTTGTAGTCTGAAACGAAGAAAAAGTGTCAACATGCTGATCCAAGCTCAAGCGAGTCACGAGGAGAAAAATATCCTGACCAGGTCCATCTACGAGAGTTTCCGCTTACGCCTAAGAGTCATCTTTATAGCACCTTTTCTAATATTAGTACCAGTATATTCGTTTTTTTCTCCTTTCCTTTTTGACTAGCATCCGCTTGAATCGTCAGCACCTTCTGCCACTTCAATGAAGCGCAAGCAGTGTTAACGTACGGCATCAGTATCACGCCAATCAACTTGCCGATAAAGAAAACCAAGTCCAACAATCCGACCAGCAACTTTTTCTATTGGAGACAAGAGGAGGAGGCGAACAGTAGCGCCAAGTTATGACTGGATAAAGAAGGGAAATGAATACCAAGCGAAGATGCGCAGCAACGTTTTCAACTTTCTAGTCAGTCGATACTAGAGTGAAATCCATCGGAAACTATTGGGATCAAGGTAAGGTCGCACCTTTTGAAAAAAGCCTGTAATCTCGTCTCCGTTCTTGCCAAAGAAATATTTCTCGAACTTATCAGCAACTTCCTGTCCATTATGCACAACGTCGTCTGGGTTCACTTTGATGAAGCGCAGAACCGTACTCACCAGATGCGTTCTGAGAGCTTCATCCTTACCATCGTTTTTCAGCATCATCTGCATCATGATTACCTACAAAGAATTTAGGAGCAAGGACGCATGAGGACTTTCGAAAGGCTTAAGGGAAAGATTGTGGTAAGAATGCAAATATTGAAAACTTGCAAGTTATACGTTTTCAATCTTATGTCATTTGAGAGTAGCGTGCTTCTAAAAAAGCATTAAGCGGCGTACCGCTTCCGCCCCATATCCATCTTTCACCATACCCGAGTCCTCGTCTACGTTTACAGATGGTTCTGCCTTGCTGTTACGGTAGCGGATCCACTTGCGTCGCCAGTCTGTATTCCGATCATTCCTCTTCCAGTTCACTTGCTGTTTCTGTGGCAGCAACCATCGAAGGCGCAGATGGCCGCCCGATATGAATTGAAAGCTCACTTGCACCATCTTGTAATCAGTCTAGAAATTCATTCTGTTTCCTTGTATTACTTTCAATGTTCGCCCTAAGGTGCTTCCCGTTTTTTGCTACTTAAAACCTTCGAAGATTCCAATCTGAGAGGCATACTTTCAAGGGAATGATCAAACTTTCTAAGGGGCCGCTTTATGGTGCAACTTTTGGGACAAGGGGAGGGAAGTCGATCTCACTCAGCGATGCGGAAGGTCTCTCAACATCTCTCATTGATCGCTCATACGATAAGGCAAGACACAGCTCCGAGCTCCTCCTTCTTCTCCAAGGCAGCAAAGTTCAATTGTGCAAGCACATCCACGATAAGAATCATCTTATGAAGCATTTATAAACCAACTCGACTCATGGGAGAGGCAGGAGGTCGCTGTAGTCTTTTCTCATTGTATAATATTCGCAGAAGCTCTCGAGAGTCATCAGACCCTCCGGCCAAAAAATTGGAGAAGTTCGTGGAGCTTAACTGGCAAGCAGTGGACGTCGATATAAATCCTTCACGGATTGAAACAGCAACGCAGGCGAGAATGTAAGCTGCTGCACACAAGTATGGAAACTGAGTTGTTATGTACAAGATGGTCGAGAATGATGCAGCTATAAGTCACGAGCTGGCTTTTGATGATTGCTGGCTGATGCTTTTTGTTGAAAACATACTGGAAAGTCATGACAAATTTTTTGAACGTGATAAGTTTGGTTCTCTTATGACGAGCCGATTATGGAAACGCTTCGCACACGATTAATTTCAATAGCAAACTATCTAACAACTTAAGCCATGTCGTTCGTAGGATAGGAATCTGACTAGAAGACTAAAAAGAAATTTTGACGCTTTTGCTTTGACAAGTGAAGACAGCTGTTTTTTCTATGCTTGTAAACTTGACTACGATCTATTTACTTCTGAGAAGCATTCGCTTTCTCAACCTGTTCGCGAAGCGCTTTCATTTCATCATCATCATCATCACTCTCATCCGCCGCTTTAGCATCCTCTGCAGGAGCGATCTTCGGAGCAGCCGGAGCGGCAGCCGTGACGGGTTCTTCAGGTGCAGAGTCGTCGTCATCGTCAGCGGGTTCTTCCTTGGATTCTGCCTCTTCATCCTCTTTTTGCTCCTCATCCGCCGCAGAGTCCATCAGCATAGAGGCGTCTTCGTTTTCCTCGGCTTGCTCCATCTCCACATCTCCATCCACTGTTTCCTCCTTGGTCTCCTCGACTTTCGTCGCCTCCGTGGGGACGTCGACTGCTGCTTCCTTCTTGGGACCAGCTTTTTTGGCTGCAGGAGCAGGGTTCGTTTTCGGTTCCGGAGCATTGAGACGCTTCTTCTCCACGCTTCCATCGGAGAAGACCGTGACCAGCTTTTGTACAGGTTGACCGTCCGCATCACGCGTCTCCGTCTCGACATAGGCGCGCGCGATGACTTTTCCAGCGGGTTCTTCTGGGCTCTTCTTCGGCTTCAGACCCACCTTCTGCGGCTTCGGAGCCGGTTTGTTCTCAGCAGGTTTGGTCCCAGTAGCAGGAGGATCTTCTTTGAAGAGCTTCTTCACTGCGTCTCCCAGTACGATCGGCTCCAAGGGCTTATCCTTGGGGCGGCGTTCCGTGCGGCTTCGCGAGATTTCAGGCTCTTTTCCGTTTTTCTGTATCAAGTTTATTGGATATGAAGAGGAGAAGAAGGAGGAGAAAAGAACTGCGACTCAACTTCAAAGACGACCTGCAACAATTCATACCAGCACTAGGACCTTTCTTGAAACAAGCAGACAAAAATCATAACAACATCATAAGAGAAAGCACCTTCATCCTCGTGGTAGTCTTGTTTTCCTCAACCACAGGAGAGCTCGCCGCAAGATACTCGACATCGACTTCATTCATCAGAGCACGCGGCGCAGGTTCGTAGAATTTCCCCAGAACAATTACTTCCGCGTCGACCTCTGCCTTCGTCTTCTGCAGATTGGTATTCGAGGTATCCGATTCCTGCTCCATCTGTTCCAGCTTGCGCTCCAGTCCACCACTGCTTTTCGCATTGAACGCCTGAAGCTCTTGCACCATGGATACACTGTCTGGCGAACCGTTTTCGCCAGGCGGTAGCTGTAAAGGTTGACTCAAGTGCTGCTATGCTGAGAGGTAGGTCTTGTGGATAATACCATGGGCCAAGGAGAGCATCTTGGTTTTTGGTCGCACTCTAGAGCAACAAGTCATAAAGTTCCACTTCGAAGCTTAAGGTAATACCTTGCTGAGGTTGATGCCAATCGACTCTGCACATTCCTGGCCTTTTTTGTCGGTCGTAATGCAACGACCCACACGACCACGAGTCCAGTCCTTCTTGTTGATAGCCAAGGTAATGAGTTTGATCATATCCTTGGTCTCGATAGCCCTCCAACCTGGTCAAAGTGGTGTGTAGGAAAGTTATGGAAGGACTTGCATGAGTTGATAGTGTAAAAGGAGGTGGAGTAGTATAATGAGATGTCTATTCTTCAAATATTAAGATCCAACAATATCACGCTGCTCATTCCGCGCCTAGTTCTGTATAGAAGTCACGATGTGAGTAGAGTCCTATATGTACCGAAGAGCTTGTGGCGCTCCTCTGCGTAGCACTTCTTTCCAGCTTTCACAGTAGCAGACGCTTTTTCCTCTCCCTGGCGAGTCAGGAGGCGAACCAAAGCTTCGCGGTCTTCTTCATTGATATCAGCCGACAGCTGGCGCAAAGCGTTGCATAGATCGGACGCACAGTCGCGACGCTTGCCAACACGTAGGGAACGGAAATCAGTAACGCCTTTCCAGATCAGCGACATTTTTGATGGAGGTTCTTCTGAATCCAGTGGAGAATGCTAAAACAAGTCGAAATATTGAAGCTCCTGACTGTGCCGCAAGACTGAGACGAATGCTGTTGATTTGCCAGCTTAGAACTAGTAGAAACTTCTTTAACCAGTCTCATCATCAACCACGCGATACTTCGATTGAAAGCGCAGGCCTCTCGTCCAAGTTAAAAAACAACGACGGCGATCTCATCCGCGATCTCGTCTCACATCATGCAGTCGATTTTCTTGCCAAAGAACAAACGAGAAAGCCGATCGATCAGGAGTAGCAGCAAGAGAACAACTTCGCGCACGATGTCAGAAACTGACGATTTTGGAGCAGCAGACGATTAAAATCTTTCGGACATCAAAAGCGCATCATCTACTTCTTAGACCTGGAATGCATCTCATTTCTCCAGCTTTAGAAAGCTGCCACATCTTCTAGTTCTCCACACGACCATGACAAACTGCACTAGGTTTCAGGCGTTGCGAGGTGGATCCGCAGACGTAGAAAGACAAGATATTCTTCAATTCCAGCAGGTCTTCTCGATCCGGTGCCCAGAGCTTCGATCCAACCAACTATTTTAACTAGCTACTTAACTATCTAGTTTAAGCCATAACTTGCGTGCCCAAGTGCAGGATGCCACAAAAATTAAGGTTTTGGAGAAGGAGTATAGATTTTCCTTTGATAAGAGGGGACCCGAGTAGATCAGCAGGAATTCGCATTTACATTCATTTCACATTTCGCGGCCTCCGGCCAGACAAGTGCTACACTGCATTAGAATTCACTGCTACCGATCATTTGGCTCGCTTCCTGCTTCCAGCGAGCAGTGAAGGCCTCTAGGAGGGCGTGGGTGAGCACGAGTGTCAGGATCCCTTTTTTGGATTGCTGTCGCTAAAGGCAGCAGAAGCTGCTAGCTCTTTAGTGTGCAACACGCTGACGCTTCAATAGTCACTGTTCCCATCTCAGCTACCTGCCTATGGGCATGTTCACGGTGAGATGGCCAGGGGTTAAGGAAACAGTCACTTACTTGCCATTTGTCCAGGCGCGGCTTTCGCCAAGCGTCTCATTTCGACTTCACTTTCTTGCGAAGTGGAGCGGCCTGTGATTGTTTTCATGCCTGGTCTGTAGTACTGGTGGTGGTGGTTTTCTTCTTGGTGACTTTTTTCGTCGCCGATTTGCAGTATACAGTTTCCGGCGTGGCCTTGATTGTGCGGTCATCTTGTCCGTTCATTTGGGTAGTGCCTTCCGCGAGGAGTTTGCCCCTCGACTTGAAGTAGGCGGTGGCGTCGTGCTTAGTTGATAAAAGAGATTCGATCTCGTCCAGTTCGCGGGTGCGCGTTTCATTGCGCATTGCCTCCTGGATCTCGTCTCTGTCCTTGGTTGTGGTAGGTAGGGCTATGCGCTTGCTATCGTCGGTGGTGTAGTCGAGTGCTCCTGCCACGGGGAGTAGGGCTGTCTCTGCGTGGTCCGCGTGGTCCTTCATGTAGCATAGGACGGCCGCGAGGGTACTCCAGCCTCTTGCCTTCATGTAGGTTTCGAAGCCGAGGAAGCGTTTGCCGGAGGCCAGCGCTTTCGCGGCCATGAGGGCACTAGTTCGGCGGGGCGAGTGGAACTTCGCCCCCAGTCGTTTCATGATATCCATCATTGTTTTTTCGTCTGGCCTGCTGGTAGGGATGGCTGTGGTGTGGTTTTGTCGCAGATGGGGCAGAGGTCCTTGCGTTGTGGTGAGGTACAGTTGCAGCGGATGGTAACCACACGTCCCTCCTTGTTCGCGATCTTATCTCGAATAACTGTTACAAGGATGCGGTCGGCGTGGTAGGTAAGGTGGTGCGGGCGGAGCTCGGCGAAGCTGCTCCACCGGATGCCCAGGAGGATCCACAGACGCACAAGTGCGCGAGCTGCAGGCTGGAGGCGTCGGCACGCATCCACGTGGATAGGTGGTGCCTTGAGGGGCTCTTGTGCCGCGCACGTTCGCCTGATGTCATCCTTGGCGATGTTTAGCGCCTTGATGGCGCAAGGGTGCGGCTGGAGCCAGTTGGGCGGTTGGTTGGTGCGTGGGTCCAGCTCTGGCATGAGAAGGTTGCGAGATACTGCGGCAAAGTAAGCGCTTGCCAGCTCGGAGTTGTCATTGGTGGCCGAGATCCAGAAGCAGAAGATACGTAGGTGCTCGATTGAGTATGGAGGGTGGACTTGCGGGAGCTGGTTCGCCCAGTAGTCCCGGAAGACGTGAAAGCTGTACACGCGGTCGATGAGGGTGCCCTCGGCATGCGCTTGCAGCTGCAGCGTGATGTTCTCGCTGCTGCAGTAGCGCGTGAGGGTGTGGTGGTATTCCCGTTTTGGGATGGTGGCTTTATCGAGTCTGAGTGACGGCGATGGTGTGGGTAGCGAGAGTGGTGCGGTCTCCGACGGTGGTGGTTTCCACGTCGGGTCTCCCAGTGGTGTATGCTGTGAGGTTTGTTCTCGCAGCTGGGAGCCGGAGGCCTTAGACGAGGCCATAGCCGGCGCGAGCCAGGCGCCATGTAGCGGCGCGAAGAAACGCGATGCCATTTTTATTTTTCCCTCAAATCTTTCGCGCTTTATTCTAATGCGCGAGTGCTACTTTTGCTGGGTTTTGTATTTTGGTTTTCTTAGTATTATCTAGGGATGGGTGTCCGATATTGCGTGTAGACTGCCTCACGTTCTCTCAGCGGATAACCTTCTCTCGTCATAGCTTCGTGGTATGCGGCCGCTAGTGAACGCATGCGCTCAGAGAGATGTGGAGGCAAGGCGGTCGGGGTGAAGCATGTTTTTTAAATACTCACACTGGTGCACTTAGCCTAAAAGCTGGCCCGGAAGGTGGCGCCTCGCCTTTTCTCATTCAGGTTCAAATCTGATTACTCATGAGTCCTGTGGGATTTGTTCCGAGGTGTAGACGCTACACAGATAGAGCGGCACTGGGTCTGTGACTAACTGGCGTTTCGTCTTGGTCACATAGAGAGCAACTCCTTCATCGATGGCGTCGTGTGTGTGGACCGCAATCCCTACACGGTCGCCACCCTTCGATTTGGTATGACTCGGGTGGTCTCCCCAATGGACGTATTGGCGGCCCATCGGTAACAAGTAACCGACTCGGCCAATATTTGCCAGGGCGTCTGCGGAGGTCTGGCGCCAGATTTATCTGAGGTTTGGCAAGGTGGTTGACGGTCGGTAAAGTCTGTGCAGGTAGTTGGGTGATGGTAAGGTAGGTAGGTCGAGTCTTTGTACTCAAGGCAGGAAGAGATAACAACTCGGTGAATAAAGCAAAGTCAGGCTGAAACGTTGGCACCCATGGGCGTCGGCGTATTCTTCTGCCTCAGCTTTGGTAGTGAGGCGCTTGCTTCCGGTGCATTTTGCCGCGGATTGTCCCGATGTGGCGCGGATGTAGTGAGCCGGTTCGTGGTAGGCGATTTCAAAGCGGAGTCCACCATGTCTGTTGGTCTGCTCTGCAGCCGCTTGAATGTATTCAAGCGGGTACCAAACGCCGCGCTTGCCATGGTAGAGGGTTTCCTGAAGGTCACCTAAGTCGATGTCGATCCACTCACGCTCCCAGCCCTCGGCCACGTGTCGACGGATGCGCCAGCTCTGGGCTGTGGCGGAGGAAGTAGGCCAACTGCTTTCCGCATTTGTGGAGCAGGTCCCTGCAGAGTATAGCCGGCTGGCCTGCCATGGGGTCAGTCCACTGGAGTTGCTTGATGGACTGGCTGATGGTGTAGGTCTCGCGCGGCTTTTTGATAATGGCCGGAAGGTAATCCATGCCACCAGAGCCGTATTTAAGTTCCTGGCCACTTTGTGTAGAGGCGGGTAGTTCATCGTCCACCGACACTTGCGTGCTCGGAACTTCATGGTCGTAGGCTTCATCCAGGTCATGAGTCCAGAAGGAAGCTGCCGGCATGGTATAGTCTTCACCCTGAGTGGACGGCGGGATGAAGGTTTGCTCGTCGTTGTTGTACGGGCCAGCACCAGTCGAGGTGCTGCCCGGGGCAGTCTGGTTGGGGCGTGCCTTACCGTACGGCGCCCTGGCGGCCGCAGGGTCCTGAAGGTCCTTTCCGGTGGCGTCTTGGGCTGGTTTCCCACCAATGCCCTTAGAGCGGCGTTTTGCCGCAGCCTCCAGTTTCTCACGGAAGACTGCTTTTTGGCCTTTACGGGTCGGCTGGATGGCCACCTTCTGACCCTTTCCCGGTGCGTTGGTGCTCATTTTTGAGTGTGAGCCTTTAACACGTACGCGCGGACACGTTGGCGCTGTTTCCCTGAGGTGGTTTGGTGGGTAAAGGTAGATAGTGGCGCGATGGGCGTTTTATCCAAAAGCTTTGCTAAAGTTAGTAGTGGTTTTGTATGGTCAGGTAGTTAACATAAAACGCCAGTAGCTAGCATTTTTGTTGCATGCGAGAAAGCAAGGCGTTCCCTGTATACAGGGGGGGGCACTTCGAGATCGGCCCAATTCAACACATGATAGCGGTTTCTTCTTTTTCATTGGTGAGTGGTGCCGAGAGTCGCAGATTTAAGCGCATGGGTGATGAGTGGTCGACTTTCCTTCACTAGATAGATCTGATCACTCACTGACTGTTGCACAGGTTTTGAGTGCAGGCATCAGTCTGGGTTTTCCGGTAGAGAGGACACGGCCTGGTAATAGTGATTCTAGGTGAAGCTTCGCAAGGTTGGTTTTATCTGACTTCATCTCAACTACAAAATGGCGAGGCTCATGACGTCATAGCGGCTTCCACAAGTTCATCTGAGAAGTGTTGTCTCGACGCCCTGCTCCATGGCCTAGAGTTCAGCTCCGGACTCTCGGGATCCACGCCTCTTCTTTTTTATTTAGACTGAGCTACAACCGCCTCACTCCACTTGCGTTCAACAATCATACTTGCTTCCTCTGTTGGCCACTGGTGGATCAAAGGGCAGGTAAGGTTATTCTCATCGAAAGCGCACTTGTGGAAGATGTGGCAACAGGCACAGGCGTCCTTAGCCAACTGGTATTTGTCGCGTTTGGACGCGCATTGAACCACTGGGGGCTCAAGAGTCCCGTCTTTGGACACCGGCAGCCCACTAGGAGTAGTATTTATTGTCTTTGCCCATGCGCGACCTGTTTTAGGGTCAGAGTTGTTCGTCGTGGCC